AGGGGAAGAGAGAGAGCAAGAGAAGGAGGGAGACATCAATGTAATAGAGACACATTGATTGGTTGCCTCCTGCACACACCCCAACCAGGGCTGGGGACCAAACCTGCAACCCAGGTACATGCCCTTGACCAGGAATCAAACCCCCAAACCTTTTGTGCAGGGGGTCGATGCTCTAACCACTGAGCAACATTGGCCATTTCTAATTCTTTGTGTAAAATCTTCACTTATCTTTCTTCTTTCCTGTTGGATGACGTTGGTTTTGGTAGTGTTGCTCCAAAGAGGATTTATAGTTGCTTTACAAAGAGCCGCAGGACCAATTTTTAAAAAGTGTACACTTTATTGTATGTAAATTATTTCTAAATAAAGTTGACTTACAAAACTACAGGTAATACTTAATCAAGACAACACTTTGAACATCCTAACTTAATTATTTTCATGCCTTTAGTCTACATATTTTTATTCATAAAGATCTGGGTTTTGTTGCTTTTCTAAATGAATGAATTCAAAGTTTAAATTTATAGACACTCAAATAACATGTTATTTGCCTTTCCTCCCATATTAATTAGCAATAATAGTGCCTTATATAAACCTCATTGGCTATGATACTGCCACTGCACAAAGCTTCCCCCTTATTAAATAGCAAACCTTAGCCTAATCAAGTTCACTAACACAAAACCCTCACAAGTATACATTTTGTCTTGTCACTGAATCTTTAATCTTTTAATAGAATGTCTCAGTTTCTGCATCTGTTCATTGGACATTATATATTTCTGTTATTGTATGTTAAAATGCAGACTCCAGAACCAATTTTGGATGTTTCTGGGAAAGTATGACCACAAACCTGGGGTTTTAGACTATTGGAAGACTATTCTTTCCCAAATCAACTCCACTTTCACTGTATTGCCCTCAGAACCAAGTAGAGAAAAATTTTCTTGTCTTCTTAGTGCCGATCCATGACTTTTTGTAGTCCTCCCTTTGAGGTAGGTTGCATATGTTTTAAATGTTTCAACTTTATGCAGTGGTGTCAGTTTCAGTTTCTGAGGGGCCTAATGGTTTGGTGTTAAAGGTACATCAGGGTTTCCAGGACCACTGATCTCTCTGGAGAAGTGCCATTAGCTTTCAAGCTCACTGCCTTGTTTCCAGTTAGCCTTTCATTTCCCATTTCTCCTGACTACAGCTATATGATTTTTAATAAATGTATTATTTTATACATTTGTTTGTAGCAAGAGTATTTACAGATGATTTTCATTTGCTATCTTGTTAGACCCAGATCTCCAAATATTATTTTTATAACAAGTTATTTTAAAAATGCAAATGTGGCCTGGCTGGCATGGCTCAAGGTTTGATTCCCTGTCAGGGCACATGCCTGGGTATCAGGCCCGATCCCCAGCAGGGGGCATGTAGGAGGTTGCGGATCAATGACTCTCTCCCTTCCTCTCTCGGAAATCAATTTAAAAAAACATTAAAAAATGCAAATGTGCATTCTTATCATTTGTTTTCCAATGGTTACTGGTTGGCCTGAGGGTTTAATGAATAGTTGTCTACCACTGTCTTGTAGATGGTTAATGAGAGTATCAATGTCTCCAAATATGGACTGGCTGAAGGACAGGTCCTGGATGCTTTTCTCCTTACCACTTCTCTGGTCATCCATCTTTGCCTGGTGTCCGGGTTTCTAATTTTCTCTAGAATCTGTCCTTTGATTCTGAGCACAGCTCCTATTTGGTAAACTGGTTCTCAAAGAACTTATTTGGTATTGGGTTATTCCTTCATTCATTTGTAGAATTTAGGTTTACCTCCTCTCTGTGGAGCAAAAAGCTTTAGTAAGACAGCCACATTTGGTAGATAGCTCATTCAACACGTATTTATTGCTCACCTACTGTGTGCTTGTCCAAGGTCAATTGCTGAATATAGAATACACCATAGTCAATATCCATTCCCCTATGGAGATTATAATGAAATTAATCAAAACAAGACATTCATGAGCACCTAGTATCTCAGATCCACTTTTGAGGAAAACAAAAAGAAGACAGGCTCCCTGCTTTCTTCTGCAGGTAGTTAAGGCACAATATTGAACAAAATTTAAAACCAAGTTACGTGAATCAGGTGCAAGTACCTTAGTAGATAGGAAAGAAGGGAATCTAAAGAAGGCCGGATAGTTAGAAGGATTTCTAAATGTGAGTAGGATGGGGAAAGGGTGCTCTGAGGACAGTCATGAGGAACCTGGACTTAAGTCTGAAGATGGAGACAGACGTTGCAAAACTCTCCACATAATAGAACAGTAGAGGGGGTGGTTGGCCTCCAATGTTAGGCCCTTCAGGACCCTGCAGTTTGCTCTCTTCAGTGAAGCTAGTCTGCTCAGTGGTTGCCCTAGTCCTAGGCATTGGGATGTTCGAATTATGCTTTTACGTGTGGGCACATAGGATCAGCCTTTAGCTACTATGATCTACCTCATTTTCTTATACTCACTTTTTTTTCTTTGCTTGATTAGAGTTCAATTAGAAGTAGCCCTCCTCTTCAACATTTTAGCTAATCCTAACTTCTGTGCAAACACAATCCAATTCTAACTGGGAAGCTAAAATACGCAGTTTTCTCTGAGGGTTCTGCGGAAATTCCCTCTCCCCCCGAAACTGATTCTATGAATGATTGTTATATAAACCCCACCACCGCATTTGAGCGTACCAAAAATCCGACTTAGTAACTCCCCTCAATGAACCCACGTTCCCCGTCTGCCCCCATAGGTAGCTAAGCCGCGAGAAGTTGTGGCAAGGAACATAAAGTGTGACTTCACCAAGGGCACCCGATTTCCTAGTGAGGACTGCAAAGAACGGG